TGATATTTATTGCATACAAGACAAGGGGGCAGGGTAAGGAGGGTGAATCTAAGTGATTGATAAGGTGAAGCAAGTCACGTGATCATAGGACAGGGGGCCCTACACTTTTAGGTAGACAAAGCAGAGAAAGCAGGCAGCATACATCAGCATTTTCTTCTATGCACTTACAAGAAAGATCAAAGATTTTAAGACTTTCACTATTTCTGCTACCGCTGTCTACTACAAACTTCAAAGAGGAACCAGGAGTACGGGAGGAACATGAAAGTGGACAAGGAGCGTGACCATTGAAGCACAGCACCACAGGGAGGGGTTAAGGCCTCCGGACGACTGCGGGCAGGCCTGGATAATATGCAGCCTTCCACAAGAAGCTGGTGGAGCAGAGCATTCCCTGACTCCTCCAAGGAAAGAAGACTCCCTTTCGCAGTCTGCTCAGTAACGGGGGCCTTCCCAGACACTGGCGTTACCGCTTCACCAAGGAGCCCTCAAGTGGCCCTTATGCGGGCATGACAGAAGGCTCACCTCTTGCCTTCTAGGTCACTTCTCACAATGTCCTTTCAGCACCTGACCCTCTACCCACTGGTTATTCCTATGTTATCTTAGCAATGCAATATAGAGTAATATTAAAAGCTAGTGATTAAAAATGTTTATAATAGTGATTGATAATTGTCCATGATCATCTCTATATCTAATTTGTATTATGACTATTCTTATTCTAACTATTTTCTTTATTAAATTCTGACACAGTTCGTGCCTTCGGTCTCTTGCCTTGGCACCTAGGTAATCTTTCACCCACATCTCTCCCCTTTTTATTGATTAGGATTGTCATTGCCATCACTGCTTGTCGCTGGCTTCGAGCTTTTCATCAGACTCCGTGGAGACACTTGCAGACTAAAAGCAAACGACATAAACACACCAGTATTAGTAATGCCAATAACAAAAGTGAACCTCCAATGGGCTTGATCCACTTGAAAAGATTTATATCAGGTAGTCCTTTTGTAATTGTTTCAAATATGTCAGAACCAGGAATGGTAGTTAAGTGAGCCTGGGAAGCCTCAAAAATTTGTTCCTTAAGTGTTGAAATATCTAAGGTTAAATGATCATCCCAGGCTTTTAGATGCCTTTGGACCTTTTCCCAACTATGTTGATCTTCTCTGTAAGCATATGGTGTTATGCAAAAATCAGTGTATTCTAATCACATTGTAGTTGCGTTCAGTGTGCTAAATTCATCATTCTGTCTCCCAACCAGATTACACTCTGGTGGAGGTCATTAATTTGATTGGACAGTTTTTGATCAGTCTCAGACTGAGAATTCCAAAGTCGGTGGACTTCTTTTGCCATGTTTCCACATAATGGGCAGTCTGGACCGAGTTAGGAATGGCTACTCCAGCAGTAGCCGCTGTTGTAACAGCAATTAAACCTGCAATCACAGCAATGAGTGTAAAAATGAATCTCCTAGTTCTTTTAAGGATCCCTTTAAGGACTTCATTGACTATATGAATAAAAGGAGAAGATTCCCAGGGGCAGTGTAAAGAAACTGGTATCCATACCCATTCCCTGGCTCTGACCAGGAGAACACTTGTTTTTGGGTCAAATGTAGCATCAATACACATAAACAATTTGCAATTATTGCATTCAACAGTTTGGGCATCAGGGATGATAATTATGTTTCCAACCAACAACATATATAGTGGTTTAACACAGCTCCTCATGGGTACCACCGCATCAGAAATTAAAGTGACCTTATACATGTTTGTTTTGGTATTTGTAAGAATTTTTTGATAAGCTACATTCCATAATCTGATTCCAGATAAGGCTTCAGCCAACTTCCACAATTCAGGATGTTCTGGGGTAAGTATAGGATGAATCATTTTTGGTCTAGGAGGAACAATGCCCTTGTCCAACCATTTGAATGGGTAAGGAGACACCCATTTCTTCTTTTTTTTAGGACTGCCAGCCTTCTTCTTCATAATCGATTAAGTAGTTAAACTCTGAACTTTGGGTATTTTGGTCAGAGCAATCTCGCCAATATACCCTTTTGGGGCCCAGTCAATGACAGTCCCTGTGACAGGACTCCGTGGCACTGCCGGTGTTGGGGCGTTGCAGTCACTCCATAGGATGTTTCCAATTACTAAAGCTGCCTTTATAGTGTCTTTTAAAGAGTCTGACAATCCTTGTGTTTTATTGTGTTTTACT